CATCTTTGGCCAGTCAGATCCCCACGGATGATGACAAACCTTGTTGTCCTCTGACCACAAATACCACCCCATACTATGACGCCGCCTCCACCATAAGGGTGCACATCTTGGATGCAGTTAGGTGCCAGTCGCTCTCCCCTACGTCGATAAACACGGACTCGGCCATCATTTCAGAACAAGTTAAAGCGACTTTCATCTGTGAACATCACCCTTTCCCAATCACGCCGCTCCCACCGACGTACAGTTCTTGCCCATTGTAATCTGCGTTGATGTTGTAGAGGGGTCAAGGCCGTTCCACAGAGAGGTGGTAAGCTCTGATACCAGCAATGCGGAGTCGTCGTAAGATTGTTCGCCTGCCAATGGGGTGTCCAAGTGCCGTTGACGTCGCCGTCACGCACCGGTTCCGCAGGTGGTTTGTCTGGATGTAGCGGTCTTCAACGTGGTCTTCCCGATCTTGGACATTCCTGTGATTGGCCTGTTTGATGACAACGGCTCAACACGTTGCTGATATTGGTTTGACGGAGTTAAAGGTTCTTGCAATGTGCCCTTGAGAGGCCCCCTTATCGGCCATACCACTAGCTCTGTCACGTTCCTCTGGTGGGAGTTACGGCATTTCTCTGATGTTCCTTTCTATGCTGCATCCTTGCTCTGCCCCACGTCGGTATTAATGCAACAATCATGCACGAACATTTTATCAGTTCCCCAAAACCTTGTTTTGACCATTTTCCATGACAGCACGAAATTCACCGAAACCTGCAAAGATGTTCTAACTTATCGCACAGTTTTTCATTCAACTTAATTTACAAGTGATAAGTTTCTTTTGCCCGGTAGTTTACTTATGATACCTTATTTAGGAATGGCTACGGTTTTCACGTTACTGATTACCGTGAAACCCTAACGACAAGCAATGGCATTTAGCATACAACACACGATAGGAGTGCTTTATGCAAACTTTTAACAATAATATACATATACTCTCTGATTATTAATAAGACGCAAATAATATTGCTGACGTTGAACGCGCAAATACAAGTATCACCACTTTTTAACAGCATCAATACACATAATAAACATAAAATAAACATAGCGATTCAAAAGTTATTTAGGTGACAACAAAGGAAAATGGCTTACCTGAATATAGTAGAAGTAAGAATAATGTACATAGAGATGACGTGGAGCAGCTTGTGCGTTCCAACGTTTATAACAGGGCCAGAGTGATTTGGATAGAGAGAGAGAGAGAGTTTGGGATTTTACGTGCGCTTTCTGACTAAATGCGTATTTCGCACACGGGTCCGTCCGCCAGGCCATTTAGTGGTTTTGCCGAGGAGCGTATGTCCAAAAAAGGAAGCTTAGTTGGTTGGCTGGTTTGTTGTTTAACGCCACACTCAGCAATATTCCAGCTATGTGACGGCGGTTTGTAAAAAATCGTGTCAGGACCAGACCATCCAGTGATTGATATTATGAGCATCGATCCGAGCAAAAGGAAGGGCAACCTGGGGCTTTATGGTTGCATATTTAATTTGGGGGAAATTTGTTATTTTGAGCGTGAGTTTGTTTGGTTTAACGCTGCTTTTAGCAATACTTCAGCAATATCACGGCGGGGGACACCAGAAATTGGCTTCACACATTGTACCTATGTCGGGAATCGAACCCGGGTCCTCGGCATGACGAGCGAACGCTTTAACCACTAGGCTACCCGACCGCTCCATGTAATTTTGAAGAATGTCGTGCTATAGGTGGGGGAGCAGACAATGTGTTAAATAACTTTGGAACAAGTTTGTTAAATTTATGCAGTGTCCTAAATATACATATCATGAATGGAAGATGTGGGTCAGACTCAGAAGTTGGAGACTACACGTTTATATCGACAATCAAGGTGCCAGCGTGATAGATTACATACTCTGTTCATCTAGGTTGTTTGACGTATGCTGTAATTTCAACATGGTATCACGTACGGAATCCTCTCACTTTCCTGTCATGGCTAGCTACATACTTCCGTGCAGTCTGAACCCGTGCTAGCTCATGGTAATAAGAAGGCTTCCAAATTCGTTTGGGTCAGTGATAAAGCTGACCAATTTATGTACAACTTGTTGAGCAGTGGATGATTCTCTTTATTAGACAAGGCTGTTGAGGAAGTGTTACACAGTATAGACGAAAGTGTTAGATACATGTCAGAGGCCTTGTGCACGGCAACAAGTGATATGAAATAATGAACTTTTAACAGTGTACCTGGTCAACAATGGTTTTACCGTGAATGTGAGCTACCTTAAAAAGAAAGATGTAAATATTGAAACAATTTTAGGAGAAAAAAGGATAATAACTCATTATATGAATATAATCATATAAGAAATAAATACAACAGTGTATGCAGAGAAAAAAAAGCAGGAAAAAGATTGTACACGCGATTCTAAACAATTTTGGACCACTCTTAAAGGGCTAAATACTAATTGTTATACACAAAACAATACTCCAATTGATGACCGGTTTAACTCTTTCAAGGATCTATTTTCAACTTCTACAGAGAACGAGGAAAGATGTTTTGATATCGACGAATCGACTGCATTTGATAACTTTTTTTGTCAGTTAACTTCAGATATTCTTGATTCGCCTATAACAAGAAAAGAAATTAGAAAGCATTGCAAACTTAAAAAGTATTAAAGCAGCTGGTGAAGATAACTTGATTCCTGAATGTTTTAAATATTCGTTTGATATTCTCCTCCCCTACCTTGAAATCCTTTTTAAGGTTATGCTAGAAAAGACTTATTTTCCAGAACAGTGGACTTTGGGGATTGTAATTCCTTTGCACAAACAGGGATCAACTCATGTCACCAACAACTATAGGGGTATAACTCTTTTGAGTGTTTTCATTAAGGTTTCTACCAGTTTTATATGCAAACGTGTAGTATTTTGGACCGATTCCTTTAATAAGATAGATGAAGGACAAGCCGGTTTCAGGCATGGATACTCTACACTTGATAATGTATTTATATTGCAGACACTTGTACAGACATATTTAGCACGAAAAGGAGACAAAATGTATATATTTGTTGATTTTGCTGGCTTAATTAACAGAAACATGTTGTGGTCCCTTTGCAAGTCTTAAGGTATCAGTACTAAAATTGGTAAATTACTATGTTGCATATATCACAATGTGAAGGTTTGTGTTCGAAACAATAACACCTTATCTGATTCTTCTATTGTAGTATTGGGGTTAGACAAGGATGTATTCTAAGTCCATTTCTGTTTCCTTTTTTCATAAATGAACTTTCGATACAAATATCTGAAAATTGTAACGAGGGCATCCAACTCCATCCGGAAACTATTAAACTTTTTCTACTCCATTTTGCTCATGATATACTTATGTTGTCGAGCACAGTACCTGGACTTCAAAGTTAAAACATGCATTTAAGTACTATTGTAACAAATGAAAATTGAAGGTCAATATCGATAAGACAAAGGTAAAAGTTTTAAAAAATGAAGGGAAATTATCAAAACGAGAAAAATGATTATATAAAGGTAAAAAACTTGAGATTGTAAGACATAACATTTCACAAATCGATTTACTTGGTCACTTCATTGCAAACAAAGCCGCACTGCAAGCCAAAATGATTTTAATTGGCATTTTACAAAACCTAAAACCCCTTGGAAATATCAGCTATGATACTTTTTTCAAGGTTTTCGACACAGATCAGTCCTATTCTACTCTGTGGTGCTGAAGTATGGGGTCTAGAAAACTATGATAAATAGAGAAGTATATATTTAGTTACATAAAAGTAATAAAATATTGGATAAAATTGCTTAAAATGGCAGAGAACCAGATTCCCAAAGAAATGCTGTAACATGATGATTCTTTACGATAGCAGAGGTAAAAATAACTGAGCCTCGGGCGTCAAAAACATACTCCAATCTTGCGGGTATGAGGGCATTTGGAGAGAGCAACATGTAACAGTACCAGATCATTTCGTATATAATTTAAGACAAGGGCTGAAAGATATGTATTTTCAAAAGTGGTACTCTTCACTATGTTTACACAAGAAGTTAAATCATTACACCTGTTTTAAATCATTTATTCTTACTGAAAAATATCTTTTGGATATAAATGTTATGAAATTCCGAACAGCACTATCCCGTTTCAGTTGTAGTTCTCATGACCTTCTAATAGAAAAAGTTAGACATTAAGCGATATCAAGGGAAAACAGATTGTGTAAGTATTGAACTTGCCACGAGATAGAAGATGAATACCATTTTTTGCTAGTCTGTCCATTGTATGCAAATATTAGAAAAGATTTGGTTGGTTGGTTTGTTGTTTAACGCCGCACTCAGCAATATTCCAGCTATATGACGGCGGTCTGTAAAATAATCGAGGCTGGACCAAATAATCCAGTGATTGACATCATGAGCATCGATCCATAGAATTGGGATCGATGACATGTATCAACCAAGTCAGCGATCCTGACCACCCGATCCCGTTAGTCGCCTCTTACGACAAGTATAGTCGCCTTTTACGGCACGCATGGGTTGCTGAAGACCAAGACAAAGCAAAGTCGATTGTACGATTCCGACTTTATCATGAGCATGTGTTTATGGATCACTATCAAAAAGTAATGATACCAGGAGTTTGCGAAAAGGTGAGCGTACACTGCCACACCGGTGGCACCCGTCACAAACACATGCACAGGCAAGTCAATTGTTTACCTGAAAAAACACGGGTACAAGTCAAAATAGGGAATTGCATCGGACATCATTTTTGTCACTGATGCGCCTAATCTGTCCTCCATATGTCTGCCATAAAACGTTTTGAAAGCTTTACTGAGGCCTTGAATGTTTCGAGCAGGAGTCGTATGACGCTCTTTGAAATCTTGGTGGAAAGGGCATGCTCGATTGTATCTCAAAAGTTGTAAAATGTAAACACCAAAGACTGGTACTGCTAGAATATTGCTCGACATAAAACAATTGTAATCAATACATTAAATGTACAAATGATAACAGTCGGACACAAGTCAAATATCTTTTATAAACCCTTTGTGGCAATACATCAAAGGTACAAATTACAAAAATCGGTCACAAGTTAAATATTTTACCTCAAACACTTGTGATCAATACATCAAATGTACACATTATAGCAATCCGACACAAGTTAAGTAAGACCCTTGTGTCAATACATCAAATGTACAATTTATAGCATTTTGGACACAAGTTTAATATCTTACCTAAAACACTTGTGATCAATACATTAAATGTGCAATTTATAGCAATTGGACACAAGTCAAATATCTTACGGAAAAAAACCTTTGTCTTGTAAACAACTACCATTTGATTACTTGAATCAAGGATGGCTTTTGGGTCACACAGAGCCAGGTAGCAATTGTATTGAGAGTGTGATGTGTTTCAATAGTTGTAGTCTGTTGTTGGAGCAAATGCATACCGCACTGGAAATCTCGACTTCGAAACAATTAGTGAATCCTGCAATATGCAATAGGAAATGTCAGCAATGTGCCATCGGCGATGTGCATACAATGAACCACTCTGCAGTTAAATGAGTTGGGTTTAACGCAGCTTTGGGCAGTATTCCAGTTGCATCACAGAGCACTCCCTAGGCGTTTTATGACTGACAGATAACTGAGCCTATCCTATATAATTTGTTCATAAGACGCACACAGGATACTCTAATGTTATAAGAGTATATACATGATGCCCCAATGGTCTTTTATTGAATGTTGAATTAATTATCTAAAATAACTTGTGGTTCCCTTTCTTCATCAGTCATACAGTGTTAGAGGGAAGAATGTTTCACAGAAGAATTTCCTTCCTTCAGGCCTATAGATTAATTTGGATAGTTTAACAGTATGAAGAAAAAGGTGCCTTGTTTCAAAATACTTTTGTGTTCCGTTAATATCTCCGTGCTGAAAATATGTTCCAGGAATCTCATAAACATTCTTCAACTTTTCTATTCCACGAAAGACAGTCGGAAATATAATCTCAAAATATAGATTGAATTTTGAAAAATGTTCCATGTAATACAAAAAGTCATCCTTGTATTGTTCAGGAACGTAGGCGATGTCTGATGCACCAATAAAGAAACCATCTTCCAATCCGGAATTGTTCGAAAGCATTTCTGTGAAAAAAGTATATCTGTGTGCATCTACAAATTTTAAAGCTTCAAGGGCGGCCTTGTAAGTTTTCAAACCAACCTTGGGATTTTGAAGACGATCCCATGTTATTGGTTTAGACTGTTGTACAACCCTCGAGGGGTAAACCCAGAGTTTGTTAAGAGGAGAAAGATGAATGTTCCACATATTTAGCAACACGTCATCGCTAATGAAAAGATACCCATCAACTCTAAACTGCATTTTCATTGCTTGTATCAAACAGTTATGACCAAACCACCCATCACCAATATCAAGCTCTATGAAGGACAAAGGTTTGTGTAGGAGTTTAGCATGTGCGTCAAATTGATCTTTATTGGTTCCACAGTAGACAGTATGCGGGAAATGCAAGCTATACATCATCTCAAGAAATGCGAGGTTCTCATAGTGGGGCCAGTTAAAGACAACGATTAAAAGAAGATTAGGATATGAAATGGGTATCTTAAAGTCTTTCAGTTTGTATGTGCTTAATGAATGATTACTGCAATATGAAACTATTTGACTAATGTGTGACACAAACGCAGGTGATTCCTTATCTTTGGAAAATATCCTGGGTGGTGTCTGTTCAGGTGCCCAGAATGTGACATTGACCTGTTGGTCAGTCAAATAAGTTTGATTAGGCAATTTCAAATCATTCGTGACCTGTGCACTGTCCTTAAGCAAACCAAATGGAATTCTTTCTGGTTCCTTGTAACCTAGAGTATTTAAATCCTTGATCCAGAGAGAAGTCAGACGTACATCCCGTTCCTGCCAAAATTGCTCATGCTCCATGTCGGTTGATAGTTTAGCCATACATGCAAAAAATGTCTTATCTGCTCCACATCTCCATTTGGACAGGAAATCAACGAGGCGATCTGTCTGGAAATATAGGTCCTTCTCATCCACAGCATCTTTCATATAGGAGTGGGAGTTCCTCTTCTGGAAAGCGTTTGGTGGGAAGAATCCTAAGTTTCCTCCCATCTCCCACAGGAGTCTCTGAGCCCAGTAGCCTCTCCAGATGTCACACACTCGGAACGTTGTTGTAGTTGGAATCAGTAGTGCCCATAATGCATCATACAGGAAAAGGGTATTCTGGGAATTAAAGGGTGAGAACACCCCAGCTGGAACAATTGCTGGTGGAGCTCGGTCATCAAAGGTCACATTTAGCTGAGAATGAGTTTGTTTTCGGGTCAGTCTGAAAATGGCATCCATATCCGGATCGCCATTGACCACACCCTGCTGAATAGACGGGGTTTTCCAGTGATTCAGCTGATATTTCATTGTAATATTTTCTCCCACAGAAACAAGTGGGTACCCTCTTGGCCACAGTGTTGGCTGTCCAAAATGGCGGTAAGGGTTGAAGAGCTTCTCCCCTTTATATAAGAGTCCCCACATTGTTGGATCCAGAACAAAGTGTTTCAGAGAATGGAGTGGATGGTTGTCGTCATCAGTTTCATAAATGATTTTTGCACCATGGGCTATTGCAAACAGATATCCCACTGTCTTTCTGGCGTAACTCTTCTCCGGAAGAAGAGACACTGTGTCAAAATCCAGTTGACGCTGATCTTCTATACTTAAATATACACAGTTTGGGTACCTGAAATATTGAAATGCTTTATTGAGTACGACATTGTTTCAATGAGTCATAATACGTATATTCATTAACGACATGCTAATTACAGCAAATTAATTGGCTAATGGAGTAACATATGTGTGCGTTGTTGTCTTCAAATAATGTAGGCTATTTGCGTACTTTGAAACTTATTTAGTTGCTAAGCGTCTCAGGCATTTTCTCTTCTGCACAGGACGTATGGCCAAGTCGTGTAAGGTGCCGCAAGTGGCGTTGCGTCCACAGGTGTGCTAGAAGTCTATGATAGTGAGTTTGAATCCCTGTTCTCTCCGGCTATGTATCTAGGTTGTTCAACGCCATATTCGATTTCAAGGGTTTCATCAAAGTGGCAAATGTCTATAGTGCGCATCACTTTCCTCTGACATGATGCTGTTCACAGCGACATTAAGTCAACCTCACTCACTCTACACAGAACACAGAAAGCAGAGTCGGGAAACTTAAGCAGAAATTCTACCATGGATTTAAAAGAGATTGGTTTTCTATTTGGTTACTCTGAATGAAACATTTAGTTTGCCCACCGCATCACGCTGAACGCTGGGATTAAATGAAAGGTACTTCTTCCTCAACCAATGTGGACAGGCATTTTGAAAGAATGTTAAAAAATGATAATATGTTATAAGATGCAGAGTTGAGGTAATTACAATATTCACAATATAGGGCAAATCTATAAATTCAACCAAGAGAGTGTATTTAAACCTCTTTTTTTATCGACAACAGAGAGCTTCAAATTTGGTGTTTTTCTATGTCTGACTGAGACGTCATTTACCTTGCGCCACAGCTAAACTTTGGAAGGCTTGATTATTTTTCTTCAGGGTTTTTTACTTCATATTCTCTTACAAAATAGCTGAACTACACATTTTGCTTTGAAGTTATGTTATATAGAGAAACTCACCCTCGTGTCTTGATTTCAAATATATAAACACAAGTTGATAAAAGTGGAAAAAACTCCGGGGCTTACCGAGGAGTCTTTCCACTTTTATCAACGAGATTTGATATATGTGATATCATAAGACACGAGGGTGAGATTATATTTACCATCCAAAACCATTCTTCCATCTTTTTCAGTTTGTTGACAGAAATAAGCAGTGTAAAACGTAGACTAACAGCTTCAGTAGCAGATACATTAGTGATGTCATTGATTGTGACGTCATGGTAACAATGACGTCACAAAGCATTGTAATGCAATTTCATTGCAGCAATATCTAGAATGTAGATATCGCTTCATTCCACCCAAGCGATAGCTCCTTCGGAAGCCAGTTTTGGATTATAAATAATATTAATAATAATAGATGCCCTGCTTTGGCACAAACACAGTATCTTAAGCGACATGATGGAATGGCTAAATCCTTTTATTACCGTCCTTGCAATGCTTGTGGATTTGACAAAGAGGTCCATCCGTGGTACGACCCGGAATATGTAGAGGGTATCATGGAAACTGATAAACACAAAAATCTTTGGAATAGGCCCTTTTCAGCCTCAGACCTGACCTTGTCCTTTTTGATAAATCCAATGAAACCATTCGACCAAGTTGTCCGACTCCTCATTGTTCTCGGTGCCTTTGGTTTGGTACCTCCCAATCTGTTGACTGACATTGGGAGAGTACCCGGGTTTGCTGCCAGGAAAACTTCTGACAATCTTGGTAATGCAGAAGGCTACAGTGTTGGGATGTCCTCACATTATCCGAAAAAAATCTGGGTGGGTTTGACAAGGCAGCGCTTCCTGGGAGAAATCCCATTCGCTGTATGGGCTGCATGTAGAGGGGGCAAGGGCCCTGAGCTGATGATGAGCCTGACTGTGCCAGGATCACCCAAACCCTCTTTGCTTCATTTTTTATTTTAAAAATAATAATAATAATAATAATAATAATAATAATAATAATAATAATAAATAAATAAATAATAATAATCATGTCAAATCGGCCGAGACTCAGTTGTTCAAGGAGAGGCTATCTGAACGACCTCTGCATCGGGTTTATGTGCAGTATGTTGAGACGATCAGCACCCCTGCAGAGTCCTTCGCTTGGATGAAGCCGACTGGCCTGAGAAGTGAAAATCACTTCCCACTCGAAACCGTCAATGTGCACGGCTCCCATGGGCGAAAGCTATGAACACACAATGCCATTTAGAAAGTGGTCAAAATTCTAAATGGTATTGTGTGTTCACAGCTTTCGCCCATGGGAGCCGTGCCAATATACACTTGCCTGAGGGGTTTACAAAGTATGTGATCTAGACTACCAGTTGTTGGACTTTCATTTTTGTGGAAGCCTCGGTGACTGAGTGGGTGAGATCGCTGAATTTGTGTGCTGGAGATAAGGTGCCTCACTCTGGCAGTGTGGGTTCAAATCCAGGACGGAACTCAACCAAAAAAGTACGAGAATCTATACTTTATTGAGAAAGTGTTATCCCAAATATAACATTTGTTACAAAAGTCTTTTTACAAAACAGCACCATTTCAATAGTTTGTTCCCACTGACAATTACTACAAAGATAACAATCAGCAGGTGGTAATTTCATATTATTTCAAGATGCTTAACTGGCCATGAAGATGACACAATGTTCTTGATATTATTTTAGAAAAAATATAAGCAATGATTTTAATAATTAAACAAAAACAATCAACAGCATCTTTTAATATCTCCATGTCTAAAAGAAGGACACCTTTCTGTATAAAACAATATACAAGCAGCTACAAAATATTGCCCCTTAGGTATGTCAGGATCCGCTGATACTTGGCTTGTCAGTTTTACACTTGTGCACAAGTCTACGACCTGCGTCACAGTCGGGCTAAAACCAACCTACCCACACTCTTTCACTCCATTCTACTATACACTCCTACGTAAGGTTTACCTCCAGTCCCTTGGAGTCTTGGTGTCCCCGACAATAACGACCTTCCATCCAGGAATCTCTGCCAGGAACTTGATGTCCGGTGTTGGGTAGGAGATGGATGTCACAACTATCCATTTATCAGACCGTACTGAGCTGTAGTTGTGTCTCACCCTAGGAAACAAAACATTAAAGATCATTTCATGTTGAAGACAATAATGGGATGTGGTTGGTTGGTTGGTTGGTTTGTTGTTTAACGCCGCACTCAGTAATATTCCAGCTATAGGACGGCGGTCTGTAAATAATCGGGTCTGGACCAGACAATCTAGTGATTGATATCATGAGCATCGATCCTCGCAATGTGGGATCGATGACATGCATCAACCAAGTCAGAAAGCCTGACCACCCGATCCCGTTAGTCGCCTTTTACGACAAGCATAGTCGCGTTTGACGGCAAGGATGGGTTACTAAAGACCTATTTTACCCCGGATCTTCACGGGTCGAATAGGCATGTAGCGATTTTGAACATCTGATATCACGATCAGCTGACCAGCCTTGACAGTGCATATCTTAACATCGTTGTTAAAACATTGTTAAGAACATAATTTTATTTCTAACATCCCGGGATATCCACGCGTACGCAAATCCATGCGAAAAAGGAATGCGGGGTTTATATCCCCTGAGTCATCAAGGAACTTATGCATGTAATATCACCGTCTAGAGTATCGTGTATATGGTTGTCTGAGCAAACGTATCCAGTACGAGATAACTCTACATTGATAGTTTACATATATCGGGTGCCTTCCGCATTCTGCTAAAATTCCCTTAGTTGGTGGCCGGTAGCCGATAGTGTCATTTACCACAAGCATAGTCGCCTTTTACGGCAAATGTGGATTTCTGGTCCGGTTTTCTGCATGTATGTGGTCAGTAAGTGAGGGAGGGAGAAGATGTGTTTAATGCAATATTTCATCTGTATCACGTTGCCATAGAAATAATCGAGTCTGGTCAAACTAGTGGCTGATATTATAGGCAACGTCCCATATTGTGTCATATACGACTTGCAAGAGAGAACAGGGAAACTAAGAAGATTATTAAAATAAAGTATTCCAACTCGTCTCAAAAAAAGGTAACGAGAAACCAGATGAATTGTGTATGTCGTTTTTTGGCGCCCAAGAACGCCGTTGCCGATATTATTGTGATACATCATCACATCAACGCTGCTGATGAAAACCCATAAATCTCACCTGTTGTGAAATGATGAGGCCATTAAACGCAAACAAATCACTCCTACTACCACGGTAGCAAGGCAAAACATAATTGTCTTCATCATCGCTAGTCGCTGCATTCGGCCTCCAAGAGTTAACATGCTGTTCCGATGCAAGTTGCCTGCCTGATGGATCTATCAGCTCTGACACCGACACAGTGCTACACGCATGACACAGCTGTAACGTCATTTCGGTCTCTACTCCCCGAAGTGATACACAGACTGTGTCAGGGACAGCGATATGAACCTACTCGTATCCACTGAAGCAGTACGTAGAGTGTTACTTGCAGCAAGCACTGACCGAAGAATACTTTTCAATGGGAGCGAAAAGCCCGGCAACTGTCTAAACTTGAAATGCCCTGAGGGCGGATATAGCACAGTTTGCTTTTTATATGATTTATTGTATCTTCTTGAATATGCCCTGAATAGTTTGTACTGAACACAAAAAATCATTTTATAAAAAGTTAAGGACCGTGACGTGTTGTCTAGTGTACCCAGAGCTTTTCAAAGAAAGGCCTCATATTTTCTGACGGTAAAGCAACTTGTCTCGGTTGAGTTGCAAATATTTGACACTTAAAGCCTGTACCTGGTTAGTCAAGAGAAATAACAATACTTGTTTTTTACGCTTTAATAATCACAGTCACGATGGAGTATAGGCTACCATGTGTGTTTGGATGATACATACACATACAAGGCCTCATACACATTTCACACACATAGTGCAGGACTAGGTCCTAGCCTCACAAGCCTCTTGCTTCACACTGTGTAAGCTTATTAAGAGTATACACACGTTTGTTTGTTTGTTTGTTGTTTAACGCCACAATCAGCAATATTCCAGCTATTTGACGGCGGTCTTTAAATAATCGAGGCAGCGTGCGTCTTCAGTTATATTCTGCTCACCAAGGGATTAGGGTGGTCGACCCTCAGAGAGAAAACACTATACTCTTTTTTAGCATAGTTTCAACCGACACCATCTCGAACTCAGGTGCAACCAAGGCACTTCTCCCACCACGTTCTCTTTTGGCTAGTCAGGGTTTTACCGGATACAACAGTACACTAACGACTATTAATAACACTCATCCCACTACAAACAACAGAGATTTCAAGTAAGAGTTCGTTTCTGGCTCTTGTTTGTCACCTAATTCCAACTGATTAATCAAATCATCCATTGATATCTTTTCAATACTTTTCAATTTCTTAGGCAAAGCGACTAGGTTTATTTGAGGAATGATTTTGCTGAACGGTTTCCAAAGTAACATATTAGAAACATTGTACTCGGTCCCTAACTTCACGAACATGTCATCTACATGACACATATTTTCATTAAGTAATGAAACAGGTGATCATTTGAAGCCGAAAATGATATATTTTGTTTAACTACACCTGATGGTGGCAAGATTGTTATACGATCGTAATCCTTCGTCTCTAGAAACCACCGAGAACGCAAGTTTCTTGTCACTCGTCACAATCCACTGACCACTGGATAAATATTCAGCCATCGGAAACACAGCGTGTAGTCTGACCTCTGTTCTCCACACTTGACTGATTTTCGTTTTTTCTTTCATGATCCCGGTGAGTCTCAGTGATGGGTGAGTTAGAATTTAACGTCGCATCGGCTTTATTTCAGCCATATAGCGACGTGACCAAGTAGGCCACCAGCAACCAAAGCTAGGCCACCTCGCTGGGGATCATGAGGACTTACAGTGCCTCGTCTTCCTGCATGGTACCCCAGCAGGATTTACGTCATCACTTCAGCTACTGGTGGCTGTGCACAATACTAGTCAATATTAAAAAATACTCAGCAATGAGTTGGCTTAAAGATACTGGTTGATGAAAGTTACATCGATTATGTTAGGATTATGTGTCACACAGGGGGACAATAATTTGACGATACTTTAATCTCCTGGACAGAGCCTTCAATAATGTCAGTTGATAATAACATCATGTAACAGGTATTAATTTAGTGATATTATATCGTGTACATAAATGTATAATTAATCATGTTAATCTTATTTATAAGTTGCAATTAGTTGTCAGTCCGTTTGTCTCTTGCTTTTATGTTTACTGCACAATTATGTGTCACGGGGCTGATTACATTTAAGGTATATGGGTATCTGGGTGGATTTATTTTTATGTCATTGTCTTTGGTGTCGTCACAATAGCCTAGGCCAAGCATCTCACTTGATTGGTCCTGTTTCAAATATACATGTCATCCGCCATGTTACTTACTTGTTACGCTATCACTGCCTGAGGATTGCACACCGGATTTAATATTGTACAACTCAAAGGTTAGTTATTATACATTTTAGTTGTTATATAAATTGTAAATTAGGTCTAATATAAATCATTGCAGGATATAGGTATAAATATGTTCATGATAAACCTAACGTATGAAAATACACAATCTGCCATTTAACCCGTATAACTGTGCGTATGGTTTATTTTCTATGTTTACTGTATGATGTAAGATTGATATACATGTATATAATTAATCCTGTATTGTATGTAATATTGCAGAATGTCATAGTGGTGGTTACAATTATGTATATATGTTTCAGTAAGTATAAAGGTAGCCCTTTATATCTTACCACCGTCATATAGCTGGAATATTGCTGAGTGAGGCGTTAAACAACAAACCAAACCAAAAACCTTTATATCTTATCTTGTTGACAAGAAATACATTTGATCAGTGACACCTTACACCACTATCTTCTGGCTGCAACACTGGATACCCCAGTGAAGACGACCGCCTCTGTGGTCTAATGGTAGAGCGTCCGCCCGGAGAGCGGAAGGTTCGGGGTTCGATCCCCAGCCGCGTCATACCAAAAGACGTTAAAAGATGGTTCTTGTTGTTACCCTGTCTGGCGCTCGGCATTAAGGGGGTAAAACAAGGACTGGTCGGCTCGGAGTCAGTATACTGTGTCTGCGTGGGGTATTTATGTTAAACTGCGGCATGGTATCTCAGTGTGCTAGCACTAGAAATCGGCATCAGTCCGTACTAGTACAAGCAGCCACACACACATACCCGTGCATGCACGTAGCTATATAAGTGCAATAATCTTGGACGCGACGTTAAACCCCATTTCACCTCACCTCACCCAGTGAAGACAGTGTAGTAAGGATGGCATATACATAAACCACGGGCTACGGGTTGTGGGGAACTATCAGTTTATTCCATGGTAGTGGAGGAAGTCACTCTGTAATAATAATAAATAACCAATATACATAAAATGTAATCACACGTGGTGAAAATATCATGATGAACTAAGTACGTAAATGCGCATATCAATAATCCTATACAGGTATAACACAATAATGCAGTACAAGTGATTATATATGACCACATGTTTACATGTGATGCACAAAATATCTGTTGACATGAAGGCCATAATAATAACAAGGCATAATAATGAAACAGACTTTAGCTCTGCACAGAGAAACCTACCCTGTGGGTGGCACGGGAGTGTGTCCACTCACCCATTCACCGGACAGAAAACGCGTACAGGAATCCTATGTAAGGGACAATACATTGATCAAATGTATTTCTTGTCAACTAGATAAGAGTGAGTGAGTGAGTTAAGATTTAACGTCACATCGGTAGTATTTCAGCCATATCGTGACGAGAACTACATTAATAATACATATATTTAGACTAAATAAAAAGTTGTCAACGATGGACAGTACAAAAAACTGGAATATCACAGATTCGATTAACAAGATAAGATATAAAGTGCTACCATTATACTTACTGAAACATATATACATAATTGTAACCACCACTATGAAATTCTAAAATATTACCAACAATACAGGATTGATGATATATATCAATCTTACATCATACAGTAAACAGTTACAAAACAACAATTACTAGCCAGCATATTGACGGGATTAAACATAGAAAACAAGCCATAGGCACATTCATACGGGTTAAATGGCAGACTGTTTATACTCACATTATTTTTATCATGAACATATTTATACCTATTTTATGCAATGATGTATACCCACTTGGATGTCTCACTTCTTCTGCATTAGATCTCTGATGAAACATCTAATAAGAGGTTTATAATCACTATAGGGTATAAGAAGTGGAGTCACAGATTTGTTGAGTGCTGCCTTAGCAGCAGCATCAGCCACTGTGTTACCAATGATCCCAACATGGCTGGATAACCAACAAAAGACGATGTCATATTGGCCAGTAGCAAGATCATTAAATAACTGAAGAATTTCAACTAAAACTGGATGTTTACAAGACATATTTTTAATAGCCTGAAGGCACGAAAGTGAATCTGAAAAAAATAATGAATTCTTTATGTTTGGATTTGTTCTTGATATATTTAAGTGCTGATAAAATTGCGTGTGCTTCTGCTGTGGCTTCAAGGCAATGTGTTGACGTTAACGTTGTGAAGATATTGTTGAACAAGTCTGACGGTATGTTGTCGGGCATTATTCTGCTGTAAAAGGGTACCAACTGGCTGTCCACGTAAAAATGACATTACCATCTCTGCATCTTTGGCCAGTCAGATTCCCACGGATGATGACAAACCTTGTTGTCCTCTGACCACAAATACCACCCCATACTATGACGCCGCCTCCACCATAAGGGTGCACATCTTGGATGCAGTTAGGTGCCAGTCGCTCTGCCCTACGTCGATAAACACGGACTCGGCCATCATTTCAGAACAAGTTAAAGCGACTTTCATCTGTGAACATCACCCTTTCCCAATCACGCCGCTCCCACCGCCGTACAGTTCTTGCCCATTGTAATCTGCGTTAATGGTGTAGAGGGGTTAAGGCCGTTCCACAGAGGGGTTGTAAGCTCTTATACCAGCAATGCGGAGTCGTCGTAAGATTGTTCGCCTGCCAATGGGGTGTCCAAGTGCCGTTGACGTCGTCGTCACGCACCGGTTCCGCAGGTGGTTTGTCCGGATGTAGCGGTCTTCAACGTGGTCTTCCCGATCTTGGACATTCCTGTGATTGGCCTGTTTGCTGACAACGGCTCAACACGTTGCCGATACTGGTTTGACTGCAGTTAAAGGTTCTTGCAATGTGCCCTTGAGAGGCCCCCTTATCGGCCATACCACTAGCTCTGTCACGTTCCTCTTGTGGGAGTTACGGCATTTCTCCGATGTTCCTTTCTATGTTGCATCTTTGCTCTGCCCCACGTCGGTATTAATGCAACAATCGTGCACGAACATTTTATCAGTTCCCCAAAACCTTGTTTTGACCATTTTCCATGACAGCACGAAATTCACCGAAACCTGCAAAGATGTTCTAACTTATCGCACAGTTTTTCATTCAACTTAATTTACAAGTGATAAGTTTCTTTTGCCCGGTAGTTTACTTATGATACCTTATTTAGGAATGGCTACGGTTTTCACGTTACTGAATACCGTGCATCCCTAACGACAAGCAATGGCATTTAGCTTACAACGCACGATAGGAGAGCTTTATGCAAGCCTTTTAACAGTAATATACATATACTCTCTGATTATTAATAAGACGCAAATAATATTGCTGACGTTGAACGCGCAAATACAAGTATCACCACTTTTTAACAGCATCAATACACATAATAAACATAAAATAAACATAGCGATTCAAAAGTTATTTAGGTGACAACAAAGGAAAATGGCTTACCTGAATATAGTAGAAGTAAGAATAATGTACATAGAGATGACGTGGAGCAGCTTGTGCGTTCCAACGTTTATAACAGGGCCAGAGTGATTTGGATAGAGAGAGAGAGAGAGAGTTTGGGATTTTACGTGCGCTTTCTGACTTAATGCGTATTTCGCACACGGGTCCGTCCGCCAGGCCATTTAGTGGTTTTGCCGAGGAGCGTATGTCCAAAAAAGGAAGCTTAGTTGGTTGGCTGGTTTGTTGTTTAACGCCACACTCAGCAATATTCCAGCTATATGACGGCGGTTTGTAAAAAATCGAGTCAGGACCAGACCATCCAGTGATTGATATCATGACCATCGATCCGAGCAAAAGGAAGGGCAACCTGGGGCTTTATGGTTGCCTATTTAATTTGGGGAAAATTTGTTATTTTGAGCGTGTTTGTTAGGTTTTACGCTGCTTTTAGCAATACTTCAGCAATATCACGACGGGGGACACCAGAAATTGGCTTCACGCATTGTACCTATGTCGGGAATCGAACCCGGGTCCTCGGCTTGACGAGCGAACGCTTTAACCACTAGGCTACCCGACCGCTCCATGTAATTTTGAAGAATGTCGTGCTATAGGTGGGGGAGCAGACAATGTGTTAAATAACTTTGGAACAAGTTTGTTAAATTTATGCAGTGTCCTAAATATACATATCATGAATGGAAGATTTGGGTCAGACGCAGAAGTTGGAGACTACACGTTTATATCGACAATCAAGGTGCTAGCGTGATAGATTACATACTCTGTTCATCTGGGTTGTTTGACGTATGCTGTAATTTCAACATGGTATCACGCACGGAATCCTCTCACTTTCCTGTCATGGCTAGCTACATACTTCCGTGCAGACTGAACCCGTGCTAGCTCATGGTAATAAGAAGGCTTCCAAATTCGTTCGGGTCAATGATGAAGCTGACCAATTTATGTACAACTTGTTGAGCAGTGGATGATTCTCTTTATTAGAAAAGGCTGTTGAGGAAGTGTTACACAGTATAGACGAAACTGTTAGATACATGTCAGAGGCCTTGTGCACGGCAGCAAGTGATATGAAAAGAGTGTACTTTTAACACAGAGTGTACCTGGTCAACAGTGGTTTTAAAAAGAATGATGTAAATATTTAATCAATTTTAGGAGAAAAAAGGATAATAACTCATTATATGAATATAATCATATAAGAAATAAATACAACAGTGTATGCAGGGAAAAGAAAGCGATTTTTTTCAAAGTGAAGCAGGAAAAACTTGAACATTGTACACGCGATTCTAAACAATTTCGAACATCTCTTAAAGGGCTAAATACTAATTGTTATACACAAAACAATACTCCAATTGATGACCAGTTTAACTATTTCAAGGATCTATTTTCAACTTCTACAGAGAACGAGGAAAGATGTTTTGATATCGACGAATCGACTGCATTTGATAACTTTTTTTGTCAGTAAACTTCAGATATTCTTGATTCGCCTATAACAAGAAAAGAAATTTCAGAAAGCATTGCAAACTTAAAAAGTATTAAAGCAGCTGGTGAAGATAACTTGATTCCTGAATGTTTTAAATATTCGTTTGATATTCTCCTCCCCTACCTTGAAATCCTTTTTAAGGTTATGCTTGAAAAGACTTATTTTCCAGAACAGTGGACTTTGGGGATTGTAATTCCTTTGCACAAACAGGGATCAACTCATGTCACCAACAACTATAGGGGTATAACTCTTTTGAGTGTTTTCATTAAGGTTTCTACCAGTTTTATATGCAAACGTGTAGTATTTTGGACCGATTCCTTTAATAAGATAGATGAAGGACAAGCCGGTTTCAGGCATGGATACTCTACACTTGATAATGTATTTATATTGCAGACACTTGTACAGACATATTTAGCACGAAAAGGAGACAAAATGTATATATTTGTTGATTTTGCTGGCTTAATTAACAGAAACATGTTGTGGTCCCTTTGCAAGTCTTAAGGTATCAGTACTAAAATTGGTAAATTACTATGTTGCATATATCACAATGTTAAGGTTTGTGTTCGAAACAATAACACCTTATCTGATTCTTCTATTGTAGTATTGGGGTTAGACAAGGATGTATTCTAAGTCCATTTCTGTTTTCGTTTTTCATAAATGAACTTTCGATACAAATATCTGAAAATTGTAACGAGGGTATCCAACTCCATCCGGAAACTATTAAACTTTTTCTACTCCATTTTGTTCATGATATACTTATGTTGTCGAGCACAGTACCTGGACTTCAAAAGTTAAAACATGCATTTAAGTACTATTGTAACAAATGGAAATTGAAGGTCAATATCGATAAGACAAAGGTAAAAGTTTTAAAAAATAAAGGTAAATTATCAAAACGAGAAAAATGGTTATATAAAGGTAAAAAACTTGAGATTGTAAGAAATAACATTTCACAAATCGATTTACTTGGTCACTTCATTGCAACAAAGCCGCACTGCAAGCCAAAACGATTTTAATTGGCATTTTACAAAACCTAAAATCCCTTGGAAATATCAGCTATGATACTTTTTTCAAGGTTTTCGACACAGATCAGTCCTATTCTACTCTGTGGTGCTGAAGTATGGGTCTAGAAAACTATGATAAATAGAGAAGGTACATCTATTTGCGTGTAAAAGATTTTTAGGAGTCAATTCAACACCCCAAATGTTACAGTTTACGGGGAATGTGGGAGATACCCTAAGTATATATTTAGTTACATAAAAGTAATAAAATATTGGATAAAATTGCTTAAAATGGCAGAGTACCAGATTCCCAAAGAAATGCTGTAACATGATGATTCCTTACGATAGCAGAGGTAAAAATAACTGAGCCTCGGGTGTCAAAAACATACTCCAATCTTGCGGGTATGATTACATTTGGAGAGAGCAACATGTAACAGTACCAGATCATTTCGTATATAATTTAAGACAAGGGCTGAAAGATATGTATTTTCAAAAGTGGTACTCTTCACTATGTTTACACAAGAAGTTAAATCATTACACCATTTTTAAATCATTTATTCTTACTGAAAAATATCTTTTGGATATAAATGTTATGAAATTCCGAACAGCACTATCCCGTTTCAGATGTAGTTCTCATGACCTTCTAATAGAAAAAGTTAGACATTAAGCGATATCAAGGGAAAACAAATTGTGTAAGTATTGTACTTGCCACGAGATAGAAGATGAATACCATTTTTTGCTAGTCTGTCCATTGTATGCAAATATTAGAAAAGATTTGGTTGGTTGGTTTGTTGTTTAACGCCGCACTCAGCAATATTCCAGCTATATGACGGCGTCTGTAAAATAATCGAGGCTGGACCAAATAATCCAGTGATTAACATCATGAGCATCGATCCACCAATTGGGATCGATGACATGTATCAACCAAGTCAGCGATCCTGACCACCCGAACCCGTTAGTCACCTCTTACGACAAGTATAGTCGCCTTTTACGGCAAGCATGGGTTGCTGAAGACCTATTCTACCCCGGATCTTCACGGGTCTTATCAAATGGAAGGTTAAGCAGATTCCAAACATTGTTTCATATCCAATAGAAATCTCTACACAAAGCAAAGTCGATTGTACGATTCCGACTATATCATGAGCATGTGTTTATGGATCACTATCAAATAGTAATGATACCAGGAGTTTGCGAAAATGTGAAAATACACTGCCACACCGGTGGCACCCGTCACAAACACATGCACAGGCAAGTCAATTGTTTACCTGAAAAAACACGGGTACAAGTCAAAATAGGGAATTGCATCGGACATCATTTTTGTCACTGATGCGCCTAATCTGTCCTCCATATGTCTGCCATAAAACGTTTTGAAAGCTTTACTGAGGCCTTGAATGTTTCGAGCAGGAGTCGTATGACGCTCTTTGAAATCTTGGTGGAAAGAATATGCTCGATTGTATCTCAAAAGTTGTAAAATGTAAACACCAAAGACTGGTACTGCTAGAATATTGCTCGACATAAAACACTTGTAATCAATACATTAAATGTACAAATGATAACAGTCGGACACAAGTCAAATATCTTTTATAAACCCTTTGTGGCAATACATCAAAGGTACAAATTACAAAAATCAGACACAAGTTAAATATTTTACCTCAAACACTTGTGATCAATACATCAAATGTACACATTATTGCAATCCGACACAAGTTAAGTAAGACCCTTGTGTCAATACATCAAATGTACAATTTATAGCATTTTGGACACAAGTTTAATATCTTACCTAAAACACTTGTGATCAATACATTAAATGTGCAATTTATAGCAATTGGACACAAGTTTAATATCTTACCTAAAACACTTGTGATCAATACATTAAATGTGCAAATTATAGCAATCGGACATAAGTCAAATATCTTACGGAAAAAAACCTTTGTCTTGTAAACAACTATCATTTGATAACTTGAATCAAGGATGGCTTTTGGGTCACACAGAGCCAGGTAGCATTTGTATTGACAGTGTGATGTGTTTTCATAGTTGTAGTCTGTTGTTGGAGCAAATGCATACCGCACTGGAAATCTCGACTTAGAAACAATTAGCGAATCCTGCAATATACTATATGAAATGTCAGCAATGTGCCATCTGCGATGTGCATACGATGAATCACTCTGCAGTTAAATGAGTTGGGTTTAACGCATGCTTTGGTCAGTATTCCAGTTGCATCACAGAGCACTCCCTAGGCGTTTTATGACTGACAGATAACTGAGCCTATCCTATATAATTTATTCATAAGACGCACACAGGATACTCTTATGTTATAAGAGTATATACATGATGCCCCAATGGTCTTTTATTGAATGTTGAATTAATTATCCCAAATAACTTGTGGATCCCTTTCTTCATCAGTCATACAGTGTTAGAGGGAAGAATGTTTCACAGAAGAATTTCCTTCCTTCAGGCCTATAGATTAATTTTGTTAGTTTAACAGTATGAAGAAAGAGGTGCCTTGGTTCAAAATACTTTTTTGTTTTGTTAACATCTCCGTGCTGAATATATGTTCCAGGAATCTCATAAACATTCTTCAACTTTTCTATTCCACGAAAGACAGTCGGAAATATAATCTCAAGATATAGGTTGAATTTTGAAAAATGTTCCATGTAATACAAAAAGTCATCTTTGTAATGTTCAGGTACGTAGGCGATGTCTGATGCACCGATAAAGAAACCATTTTCAAATCCGGAATTCTTCAAAAGCATTTTTGTGAATAAAGTATATCTATGTGCATCTACAAATTGTAAAGCTTTGAGGGCAGCCTTGTAAGTTTTCAAACCAACCTTGGGATTTTTAAGACGATCCCATGTCATTGGTTCAGACTGTTGTTCAACACTCGAGCGGTAAACCCAGAGTTTGTTAAGAGGAGAGAGATGAATGTTCCACATATTTAGCAACACGTCATCGTTAATGTACAGATATCCATCAACTCTAAACTGCATTTTCATTGCTTGTATCAAACAGTTATGACCAAACCACCCATCACCAATATCAAGCTCTATGAAGGACAAAGGTTTGTGTAGGAGTTTAGCATGTGCGTCAAATTGATCTTTATTGGTTCCACAGTAGACAATATGCGGGAAATGCAAGCTATACATCATCTCAAGAAATGCGAGGTTCTCATAGTGGGGCCAGTTAAAGACAACGATTAAAAGAAGATTAGGATATGTAATGGGTATCTTAAAGTCTTTCAGTTTGTATGTGCTTAATGAATGATTACTGCAATATGAAACTATTTGACTAATGTGTGACACAAACGCAGGTGATTCCTTATCTGTGGAAAATATCCTGGGTGGTGTCTGTTCAGGCGCCCAGAATGTGACATTGACCTGTTGGTCAGTCAAATAAGTTTGATTAGGCAATTTCAAATCATTCGTGACCTGTGCACTGTCCTTAAGCAAACCAAATGGAATTCTTTCTGGTTCCTTGTAACCTAGAGTATTTAAATCCTTGATCCATAGAAAAGTCAGACGTACATCCCGTTCCTCCCAAAATTGCTCATGCTCCATGTCAGTTGATAGTTTAGCCATACATGCAAAGAATGTCTTATCTGCTCCACATCTCCATTTGGACAGGAAATCAACGAGGCGTTCTGTCTGGAAATATAGGTCCTTCTCATCCACAGCATCTTTCATATAGGAGTGGGAGTTCCTCTTCTGGAAAGCGTTTGGTGGGAAGAATCCTAAGTTTCCTCCCATCTCCCACAGGAGTCTCTGAGCCCAGTAGCCTCTCCAGATGTCACACACTCGGAACGCTGTTGTAGTTGGAATCAGTAGTGCCCATAATGCATCATAAAGGAAAAGGGTATTCTGAGAATTAAAGGGTGAGAACACCCCAGCTGGGACAATTGCTGGTGGAGCTCGGTCATCAAAGGTCACATTTAGCTGAGAATGGGTTTGTTTTCGGGTCAGTCTGAAAATGGCATCCATATCCGGATCACCATTGACCACACCCTGCTGAATAGACGGGGTTTTCCAGTGATTTAACTGATATTTGATTGTAATGTTTTCTCCTACAGAACCAAGTGGGTAGCCTCTTGGCCACAGTGTTGGCTGTCCAAAATGGCGGTAAGGGTTGAAGAGCTTCTCCCCTTTATATAGGAGTCCCCACATTGTTGGATCCAGAACAAAGTGTTTCAGAGAATGGACTGGATGGTTGTCGTCATCAGTTTCATAAATGATTTTTGCACCATGGGCTATTGCAAACAGATATCCCACTGTCTTTCTGGCGTAACTCTTCTCCGGAAGAAGAGACACTGTGTCAAAATCCAGTTGACGCTGATCTTCTATACTTAAATATACGCAGTTTGGGTACCTGAAATATTGAAATGCTTTAATGAGTACGACATTGTTTCAATGAGTCATAATACGTATATTCATTAACGACATGCTAATTACAGCAACCTAATTGGCTAATGTAGTAACATATGTCTGCGTTGTTGTCTTCAAATAATGAAGGCTATTTGCATACTTTGAAACTTATTTAGTTGCTAAGCGTCTCAGGCATTTTCTCTTCTACACAGGACGTATGGCCAAGACGTGTAACGTGCGGCAAGTTGCGTTGCGTCCACAGGTGTGTCACATGCCTATGATAGTATAACAGTGCCAAAATCATTATATTTTTCTTCAAGTTTTATCAAAATCAAATATATTCTACTACTTTAAGTTTCACGTTCCCAAGCAAGTAAACGCTACATAGTTAACAGCACTTGGAGATGCCGATCAGCCTATAAACAATTAACTAAGCAAGTCAACATATCACAACTTGCATAATTTGACCAACATGTGGGAAGCCATTGTTATCAATTCCAAACTGGACAGATGGGTAGTGACATGCTTTCAAACGTGGACTGGAGGTCTCGGGTATAGATGCAGGGGTAACTTGGCATTGAGTCATTCCTGCATTTCGCCTGAGAACCTCTCTGTCTGTTTTTGAAGGTGAGTTACTTTTACTTATTACTTTGCCATTTTTATTAAACTTGCTATAAATAATTCTAACTTTGTTACTCTGCTGGTACAATGAACTTATGTTACAGTTAATCAAAAAGTACGGTTCGAAATCTACGACTAGGCTGCTATATGTTAATGCAGTTCAACTAGACATCAAATACTATACTGAATAATAGAGAATAATAGAGAGTCCCGGATAAAATACTAGCGTTAGTATTCCAGTAGTTTAAGTATCAATCTAACATATTACGCCATTTTAATCGTGGATGCTTATTAAACATTATATTCAACGTGTATAACGTTTCTGTATCAAGTGACTTGGTGGTCAGCGTGTTCTATTATCTGCATTTATATTTTTGTCATGTTATTCGTCTCATTGTTTGTATTTTCACGGGAAACATTTCATGTTTCAATATAATGAGTAGCATAGCATCGGCAGCTAAATGTATGTATTTAAAGATAACCAGTCTGTGGCCGTATATGTCTAGAACACAATACACGAAAAGTAAAACTGTTTCTGTAGCTAAATACGCACAGACTTGGCAATGTCTTTTAAATATGTATCATATAAGTGCATCCGCACTATCGTGAGGCACTGGTAATTTTTTTGTTTCATGTTGTAGAATAGTCTATACAGATACAAGCATTTCAGTGGCAGGCTCATATATAAGAGTTACAATACTGCGAATATCCAGCATTTATTTTATAAACACTTTCTCATGTTATAAGTTATTTACTTATAATTGGTAAACGTCAGAAGTTTTTGATCAGTGTTAAAAGGATTAATCATCATTATCGTGAAGAAAGTATCGGCAGTTACCTGGTTATAGTAAAGGCTAGGATTCGACGCACGCTCGGCCGTCAGCCATTGTTAACGTGGTGCACGTACCGTGACGCCCGGCTTAAGCCCCAGGTATCTGTACCGCAGTTACCCTGGTTACAGCACCTATGTTATCATTGTTATATTTTCAACAAGGCACCAGTAATGTACTTTACTTATTTATCAATTTAATTCAATTTTGAGGTAATTAAGTTTAAGAATATTCGGAACGAATTATTAAGTGAACGTATTTTACTATACTGTAATGATGAACTCATTGTACAAGAAGAGTATTGTATGATCATCCTTATGTCCATATTCTAACTGAATTTATGAATGATGTACGTTATTAACATGATTGACATTCACTGTGCACAATGTTGTAAGTGACCATGGCGCTTATACTATGGTACCTTAATGAGTCCACTGTTACATAACTCATTATCTTTTCTTAACTATTACTTTCAATATATAAATGCTTTACTAGTTAATTGCTCATTATGATGTCTCAACTATGAAATGGAATACTGAGATTCTGTTGAATGTATATGTGTTGCCTTTTGAGGTCATATATAACAAAGATTCCTGCATTTATCTGTCTGTTTTTGTAGGCGTGGAGATCCTGGAGTTAATTCCCCGGAACAATTCTAGGCATAAACGGTCCTTATACAAGACTTTCAAAAGTGGGTTTGAGTTCCTGTCCTCCCTGGCTATGTATCCAGGTTGTTCAACGCCATATTCGATTTCAAGGGTTTCACCAAAGTGGTAAACGTCTGTGGTGCGCATCACTTTCCTCTGACATGATGCTGTTCAAAGCGACATTAAATCAACCTCACTCACTCACTCTACACAGAACACAGAAAGCAGAGTCGGGAAACCTAAGCAGAAATTCTAACATGGATTTCAAAGAGATTGGTTTCTTTTTGGTTACTCTGATTGAAACATTTAGTTTGCCCACCGCATCACGCTGAACGCTGGGATTAAATGAAAGGTACTTCTTCCTCAACCAATGTGGACAGGCATTTTGAAAGAATGTTGAAATATGATTATAAGTTATAAGATGCAGAGTTTTACAATATTCAAAATATGTGGCAAATATATAAACATCAACCACGAGAGTGTATTTTAACCCTTTTTTATCGACAACAGAGAGCTTCAAATTTTGTCTTTTTCTATGTCTGACTGAGACGTCATTTACTTTGCGCCACAGCTAAACTTTGGAAGGTTTGATTATTTTTCTTCAGAGTTTTCTACTTCATATTCTCTTACAAAATAGCTGAACTGCACATTTTGCTTTGAAGTCAAGTTATATAGAGAATCTCACCCTCGTGTCTTGATTTGAAAATATTGCCCCTTAGGTATGTCAGGATCCGCTGATAATTGGCTTGGCAGTTTGACACTTGTGCACAAGTCTACGACCTGCGTCACAGTCGGGCTAAAACCAACCTACCCACACTCTTTCACTCCATTCTACTTTTACACTCCTACGTAAGGTTTACCTCCAGTCCCTTGGAGTCTTGGTGTCCCCGACAATAACGACCTTCCATCCAGGAATCTCTGCCAGGAACTTGATGTCCGGAGTTGGGTAGGAGATGGATGTCACAACTATCCATTTATCAGACCGTACTGAGCTGTACTTGCGTCTCTCCCTAGGAAACAAAACATTAAAGATCATTTCATGTTGAAGACAATAGTGGGAAAACGGCAGAGATGTCTTCGTTACTGATTCTAAACTGCAAAATAAACTTTGCACATGTGAAAATAATGTGATTTTAAATTAGTTGTAGAGGTTCAAACCCAAATAGGCACAAACACATAACCCAAACGCATCATTGTTTTTGAGAAAATGCGAAAAATGTAAAATCACGTGTTGTCATTGCTGGTAGAAATGCACGTGCCACAGGGGTATAACAACTGCACAGTAGCAATGTCAAACATCCACATTTTAACAAAGACACATTTGAAATGCCGAGACTAACATCAGAACAACGTCAGCGAGCAATTGGGATGGTCCAGATGGGGCCCACGCACACCCACATTGCAAGAACCTTTGGATGTTCCCGTGTAGACGTTGGAAACTTGTTTCAGCGATTCAGACAGACTGGAAGGACATCGGACAGACCCGGGACAGTCACGTCATCAGCAGTGAATGCTTTGGGTCAGCGGGTGAGCACACACACAGTGACCAGAAGACTTCGGGCAGTAGGTATCAGGGCCTACCGACCGTTCAGAGGACAGATGTTGACCGCTGAACATCGACGCAGACGAATACGATGGGCTAATACAGTGCGACGGTGGCAGCTTTCGGGATTGGCAACGCGTGGTCTTTACGGTCTGATTGTTTAGAGTTGATGGCAGACAGCGTGTTTATCGTCGCAGAGGTGAACGGACAGCTGCTTCCTGCGTTCGAGAAGTTCCTTACGATGGACATTGCGTTATGGTTGTGGGGTGGAATTCGTGGAGACCAGACAACGTCACCCGTCTTCATCAATGGAAACCTCAATGCGAAACGCCGTAGAGATGACATCCTCCGTCCAGTAGTGCTGCCCTACCCCCAGCAACAACCCCGAGGTGTTCTGTACCAATACGACAACGCCAGGCCCCACACAGCTCGTATCATGATGGATAAAGAATTTGCTTGAGATTGTTTGGTTGACTGGTACTTTTTATAATTTCAAATATATTCAGTCTTTGTTTCATTTTCTCACTTTGGTGTAGAATTGGGAGGTTCTTCTGTGACTTGCAGTTTTTGTTGATAAGATATTTGAAAGAAGGATGATACATTGAATAGTAATAAAACTGTGTACATCTATTCAGCTGCAATCTAATCAGTATACAAGTGGTGCTCCACGACGAATCGTCCTTCAACAAAATGTCATTGTACTATTGGCCTCATGGCCACATTAACGAAATAAATCTGTCTGTCTGTCTGTAAATGATGCTACAGAAAAGTCGAAAATAATTCAAAGACATACTCTCTTAAAACCTAATGAAAACTCTGTGGGCGATCAAATTATTCCGATTGTATCCACCGTCAATCCTAATAACTGTAATATCATGCCAGACATAAAAGACCTGATTGCAATGAGACTGAAGGTTTCTGTTCCTACTCACTGTTCATTATGTCCCGATCTTGTAAAGGACTCAAATCTGGAATTCCATGACAGATAACTTCATTTATCATATAATGGGTATGTTTCTCGGCAGGATAAAGCCAACGGATAAAAACTATATCCGTTTGGGTCATATGCGGATAGAGATGCAAATATCAAAGGTCAAGTAGGAACTACTTTCAGTGTTTATAAACAAACATGGCGTCGCCCTTGTCATTCGGCGATCGAGTCAGAATTAACCATCGGGAATCTGGATCAACTACAGGGATAATTGCTATCATTATTAAAAAGAACAGTCTAATATATTGAAAATCGGTGTCTAACTGTAGGATGGCGGCGAAAATATTTTTCAACCTTTTTCCTACACTTCCTAACCTGTTTGCAATCATCAGTAAACCATGGTTTACGAATATGTGGCTTAGCAGAGGACTCCACGTGGTGAGTGCTGGGTAACGCTAATAGCTCTCCCCCGTGTGGACCCGGGGTAGAATGTGTCCACAGCACCCCATTGCTTATCGTATGAGGCGACTAAATTGGGCAATCCGTTTGCTGTGGGTTGCGCCCTTGTGTCGACAGAGGAAATGAGTCTGGCACTGAGACAAGCACTCGTTGGTACCTTCTCTGATATTTTACAAACCCTCAACACATTATCAACAAAGCCTTGCAAACATACATCAAATGTACCAAGAAAACCACCGATATGATGTTGAATGTGAGGAGGCAAATGTAATATGGAGGAAAACAACATATAAATTCATAATTTGGCTTTTTTTGTGCAAAAAATAAATATAAAACATAACTCAGAAGAAAACAACGTTTCAACAAAATCAGCCAGAACAACTGGAAACCCTATCAAAACAGGAACCAAAACAATTCTGGAACAATTAACAAATTATATAATGTTATCTCTTATAAGTGAAAAGGGGGAACGGTGGCCCAGTCGTCAAAGGCGCTGTGCAGAGTTGCGTCCCTTGCGCATGCCAGAAATCTATGATTGTGGGTTCGAATCCCGGTTCGCCCCAATTGTGTTTTTAGGTTGTCAGCATCATACCCGTGCTTGTGGGTTTCACCGAAGCGGTAAACGTCTGAGACCTGCATCTCTTCGAGCGTTACTCCCACATTAAGCTGACATGCCGTGATATAAGTGTAATACTGTTAAAAGCGGCGTTAAACCCAACTCACTCACTATAAAGTGAAAACTGACAAAGGCATTTCACAATCCTTTAACTCCAACATCGGGGTAAGACAAGGATGCATTTGGTCTCCCACATTATTTAATATATTCCCCAATGATCTGCCACTTTATATCAAATCTTAAAGTTATAATATGACACGTAATGGTTTAAACATTTGTTGTTTGTCTATGACTATTTGTCGATTCAAAAAGAACCCTACAAGTGTTTCTTGATGGTCCAAGTGTATTTCGAACAACAAAAAACCTGAAGATAAATGGTGACAAAACAAATGTTGGTGATACAAACATAATAATTACTGATAGATATAATTACTTAGGAATTACATTTGAAGCCAAAGGTAAACTTAAAAATAGTGCCAAACCTCTCGTGAAAAAGGCCCTAGGGGCTACCACAAGCTTAAGTCTCCATTTTTAACCACGATATACCTATAGCTCTTACTTGAAAATTATTCAAAACATTAATCAAGCTAGTACTCCTATATAATAGTGGTGTATAGAACCAATCCTTCTGAACAACTCTGATTAATTCATAAATTCTCGTTATACCAGTACATATACAATAACAGCAGTCGTTGTGAATAGGTAACACTGCTCATAAACTGACATTCTTGGTTTGCTCCCTGTGGTGTCAGTATGTCGCTGGCAGTTCACAAGGCTCATTTTCAATTGCTCGTCAGGCATCCCGCATCTCCAAAATGTCCAACACAATACACCTCTCCTGCCTCTATCTTGGCGATTGTGTACATGAAACCACCATCATTAACAATAACCGCCACCTGGGGCGGAGTAGGGCTTGGGAAGCAACTTGTTGGTCAAGCAATGGAGCACCTGATACATTCTGTCGCTAGTTCCATACTGAGAGGAGTTTCTGGAGGGTGGAAGGTGTCATCCAAATTTCTGGATAATCACTTTACTGCTTCTGTGAGTCCCTAATAGATGGACCCTTTTCTTGGACTAAATAAGACCGCGTTCAGTGATGAGGATGATAACACAGCCAGAAACCTTTACCTAAGTTTCCTCCCATCTCCCACAGGAGTCTCTGAGCCCAGTGGCCTCTCCAGATGTCGCACACTCGGAACGTTGTTATAGTTGGAATCAGTAGTGCCCATAATGCATCATACCAGAAACAGGGGCGGTCGGGTAGCCTAGTGGTTAAAGCGTTCGCTCGTCACGCTGAACACCCGGGTTCGAATCCCGACATGGGTACAATGTGTGAAGCCAATTTCTGGTGTCCCCCGCCGTGATGTTGCTGGAATATTGCTAAAAGCGGCGTAAAACCATACTCACACACTCACTCTGAGAGTGTAGAGAAAGTGAATCATTTTAGCGTGAACTATCAATGTGGATTAAAACCAGTTGCTCGCGTGCAGGTGATTTAAACTTGATTACAATCTAGTCTTGTTTGGTGTTCTTTTACTTTTCAGTCTGAAGAAACTTTTGACTTGATACTCCGGTCTGCCAAGTTTCATATCCATAGGTGCAGAAATTAATGGTGTATTATCAAATTGAAGGGTGCTATAATAAAGCCAACGTCGGAAATTCCATAGCAACGTGGCAATTTACAAAGATATATTTTCAACTGATGCTTTCAAAGCTTGGTATGACTGACTGAATGAATTATTCACATTAAAATTCAGCACTGTATTTGTTTACACTATCACTTATGTTACTTTGTACATCCTATATCGGCAATTAAAGACTTTATACAAAGAGGATATTAAACGATGAACGGGTAACAGAATACGGTAACTGCTCAACCACTTGGGAATACTTCAATGATCACAGGCTCCCAACTCCACGTAATTTCGAACACTGCCTCCTTTTTTTCTTGGTGTTTGTGTTCACCCTCTGATATTAACTGCCGATTTGACTACCGCCTCGTCGCGGAAGCTAATATTTTTAGAATAGTACTTTTTTACACTCATTGTATGTTGGCAAATTAATATAATTTTATGTACAATTACAGGCTACAAAATGCAAAGTATGGGTCCGGTTAAAAAACAATATTCAAAGGATGTGTGGCAATCCATATCGACCCACGGACGACAGTTTCGGAGGCCTCACGAAGAACAAATAGTCGAAAAGAAAACTAACAAAAAGTAAGAAAGTATTTTAGAAATGCATTGGTTCATGTGACCATATAATCATTTTAACAAAATCAGTTAATGTCAGCGGTATCAAATGAGGTTTCCGCGTATCATATAATCAGTATCACCAGCAAAACTGAAATAAATCATGCTTTTCTCCCACGTCTAGTAGACCACAAGGGCGATGATACATGAAGTAGCATCTGAGACGACAAAAGATTATAAAACTGACCTCATAGTATGTTGTGAGACAGTGGACCATCGAAGGTACACCACCAGCAAACACATGCACCCAATGCATAGAATCATAAACGTAGGACGATGATGGGACTGCATCTTGACTTTTCCACGTCCGCCGTCAACTGTTAAAATGGTTGTATGCTCAGTCAGAATTTAGCCATAGCAATAAGTGTACCATATGGTCATTTAAGCCTACAAGTAACAGCTTATATGTCATTAGCGCATATTCTGATATATATCCCAGGTAAGCTTTAAACGATTATGTTAGGATTAACGCTGCTTTGAACGTCATTCCAGTTATATCACGACGTGCCAGCTTAATTTGCGTTTGCTTTTTCTAAAATAAAGTAAAGGTTTTGAAAGGTTTGTCTGTGAGTAATAAACACTTTTCAAAACTTTGTGAATCTTTAATAAAGGAATAGTAGAAACCTTTAGAAGAATATCGAATATCACTCCTCCAGGACTACAGAAAGTGGTCCTTTATAATTATAACCACGTACACTTTTGCAGTTATCCATTCTTTCGAAAAAAGATGTGGATATCCAAAGACATTCGGGATACCACAAGTTCTTAAAATCTCTTTGATGTAATTTAACCAAGGAAAAGAATAGCCCTGTGTTCGTTTACTAATCGTATAACTGAGCATTAATGAGGCTATGTTTAATTGCCTTAGAAGTCTTAAATACCTTTCCGGTGTCCCCCGCCGTGAACCATACTCGTTCCCTCAGGGGGGCACGGGTGGTGGGGTCGTCAAAGGCGCCGCGATTCGCTGTGCAGAGTTGAGTCCTTTGGGCACCCCAGAAACCTATGATTGTGGGTTCGAATCCAGGTTCGCCCCGATTATGTTTCTAGGTTTGTCAGCACCATACCCGTGCTCGTGGGTTTCACCGAAGTGGTAAACGTCTGAGACCTGCATCACTTCGAGCTTTTCTCCCACATTAAGATGACACACCGTGATATAACTGGAATACTGTTAAAATCGGCGTTAAACCAAACTCAGTCAAATATCTCCTTTCACGGAAATCGTGATAATTGTACCAAGAACAAGAATCAATCCTAAAAAGTTTACACTTAGATTCATTACGGACTCTGTTGTGGGTGGGGGGGGGGGGGGTGGGGGGGGTGGGGGGTGGGGGGGGGACTACAGGGGGAACAAGCCGTGAGAAACTTTATAGAGTAACTAACTCAGCCAAAAGAAGATTAAACACTATGTTACAAGATGGTAAATCGGTTAACACCTGATTATCTCCTGTGCCTTATTCCACAAGACGCCTCTGCTGTCAGTGATTACATTTTAAGAAATCGAACCAATTTACAGGCTTCAAGTTGTAGAACAGAATGCTGTGCCAAGTCATTCCTACCGAGTACCATTAAGAATTGGAATAGTTACCTGATATAGATACCTGATTGGGAACTCGAAGGACTTGGACAATGTTAAAATTATACAGTTCCCCAAACCATGGTACCACATTCTGTCATATAATCCTTAATCCTGTTCACCCCAGACTCGTTTGAAAGACACATCTCAGACAACGCATCATTCTCATGTGGCTATCCCATTGAACACGTCTTGCATTATTTTTCACACGCCCTAACTACAATACTTTAAGAAACGATTTGTCTTTCTGTTTTAAAGGGTAGAGTATAAGTTCAGTGCTTTATGGGAATGGAAATGAAACAAAATCTGTCAATTTAGCGATTATGAATACACTCCATATGTACATTCTAGGTCCTGGTAGATTTGCACTGATTTAATAACTTAAGAATTAATTCATACTTTAAGACAAGTATGAAGTATTAAATAGTTGATGACTTGCTTTTCTTAATAATTGAACCACTGTTCTGTTTTAATGTATATATGTATTATGTCTGTACATATATCAACCAAGACGTACCAGTCCTTGATATTCGAAGGATATCCCAACCTGTTTCAAGGTAAATTTTGATTTACGCCGTTGTGGCCTGTTCATTTCATGTGCACATGCCGCGTCCGTACAAATTAGCCAGGTGTGCGACACACAGTGGTCAGTCCATGTGCTCGTGCTGAGTCCGTGCAATTAACCCAGGTGTGACAGTACCTAGACTTGCCCCAGGCCTCAGCTTAGTTCATTTATGACAATGGACATAATCTTCATATTATTATTTTATCTATTTATCTATTTTTTATATATATATTTATCTATTACTTCTGTTCACACAATCTATTATGAAAACATATCTTATATTATTTCCCCTCTCAGTTAGTTTCTCATTACTCTACACCAAACTATGGTGACTTTGATTTGATTTTCTTCTTACTGTTCAATTAACTAATATTTATCACTTACATTTTCCCCAGCAAATCCTTGTGTTTTTCTGTCCTTAGTGTGCAAGTATTACCATGAATATCATCACTGTCATTTCCAAATGTATTTTTGAAGACGTCTTCACACTTTCACTTCCAATCACCGATTGTCTGTCTGTATATAATACTTGGCTTGAAATGAACTTCGACGATGGGGGTTGATATTGTACATTACAGGCAGTCGGTGGGCATATTTGCAACAGCGATGTACTCAAAGAACACGCATACATTCCATAATTGTTCACATTTTTGTAATGCGGGTATTCTATATAGATCACATCATCTCTTCCACGTTATCCTACAAATGATAATGTTACTCGTCTGTGGAGATACCCACCCGAATCCCGAATCCAGGCCCTTATTACATCAAGCTGGTTAAGGTCCTCAGACTCGGTCTTGGTGCATGTAGATAGACCCGCGGGGAGGGGGGGGGGGGGGGGGGGGGGGGGGTCAGGTAGGGCAGATAGACCTTGGTCCTAGGTCCATCTGCCCATCTGCCCTACCCTATAGATAATATAGCAGATAAAGTAAGCCCAATGATTACTGCTTTAGAACTTTATCAATTATTTTACCAATATTCGACTATTGTGACCAGGTGTAGGATAACTGTTGGTACTCGGAAGGCAACTTTTAGACGCACTGTTTTGATTGTTACATGAAATACATATCTGATTGGGAACTCAACGGATGATAAAACTTGGACAATGTTAAAATTATACAGCTCCCCAAACCATGGTACCACATTCTGTCACATAATCCTTAATCCTGTTCACCCCAGACTCGGTTGAAAGACAAATTTTACTCGTCTGTGGAGATATCCACCCGAATCCAGATTCCAGGCACTTATCAGATCTGAACATAGTTCAACTTAATGTACGCAGTCTTAAGGATAAGACAGACCTCATAGCTATTGAGTTTCAGTGGTATGATATTATCTGTATTACAGAAACGTGGTTACATCCTGTCATTCGGGATAGTCAGGTCTCTATTCCTGGCTATCATTTACCGTTTAGGCTTGATCGCAACACTAGAAGTGGTGGGGTTGCAATACACTCAAGTCTCGTTAATCCGACAATTGGGCTTATTCGCCACAAAAGAACGGAACCGATTAAATCAGTGCTCTTTAGACCCGTTAATCCGACAGTCTCGCACTCCGACTCCGACACAGCTAATTTGCAACGAATTACCTAAATCACTCATTAATCAGTCTTGTTAATCCGACACAGTGATCAGCGAGTACACAGCCCGTGTTTTGATGCGAGACGAATCGGCTGGTAGCTGCATATTACAACGGCTGCAGAGATAAACTTGTTTAACAATAAACAATTAATGCTTTAAATAAAGAAAACGGGATTTATTACATGCTTGGATTACCTTAATCTCATTAAAATCAGATACAAGTGTCGCTATGGCCGCGGACATCCCATTACAGGTCACGTCAGAACAACCTTTCGCGAACTATGATCGACCAATGAAATGACTAACAGGAAGTCAACGTTAGCCACTTTGAAAGCAGCTTTCTTAAGCTTTAGGTACCAGTTTCAAACTTGCGACTTCCATTCCAGACAGTGCTTCTTAAAGTATTTTGAAGTATATGTCAGGAATAGTTTACAAGTTAACCCCATGGACCAATTAACTATAATTGGACTTGAGGCTATATGGATCCAGGTCATATCCAAAAATTGTCGTGTATTAATTGGATTTTTTTTATAGAGCAGACAAAAGCAACTCATGCTGGGATCTCATTGACAAATCTATAGGTGATGCCATAGACCTTAATATTGATACAATTAGAACAGGAGATTTGAACATTGATTTTCTTGGAGTAAATAAACATAACTTTGAAAATCTACAATCGGCATATGGTCTAAAACAGATAATGTCTGAGTCAACAAGAATAGCCTACCATTCTAGTAGGCTACTTGATTTGATCTTTGTATCCCGTTATATACTGAACAACAAAAGTACCTGTGACATTGAATAAGATTTAATGCAAAGTTATTTTTTTTACCAAATCTGAAACAATTTCGGTCTGCAACAGATATAAGACTCCTGTAAGTGTTCAAATGGTTTAATTTGCCATAGTGACTTCAGAAAATGCGTGATTTCATAAATAAACATGAACATGCCAAAATGTCAATTTACAAATCAATAGCGTGTGTGTCCACCTCTGGTTGCGATGCAAGCAACACATCTTCGTCTCATGGAATGGACCAGGCGTCGCACAAAGTCCTGTGGGATATCTGTCCATATATCTGCTGGAGCAAGTTCTTGGAGTGTCTGTGGAACACGTGGTTGACGTCGAAGGCGCCGATCCATCTCATCCCACATGTGCTCGATTGGTGAGAGATCAGGGCAGCGAGCGGGCCAGGGGATGACATTCACGTTGTTTTGTTGAAGAGAATCCTGAACAAGTCGAGCAATATGAGCCTGGCGTTGTAATGTTGAAAGGAAATGCCTGGGCCATGATGACGCAAAAAGGGTAGAACAACAGGGCCGATGATCTCGTCGCGGTAGCGCTGTCAATTGAGATTTCCCTCTACCACTATCAAACGGGTCCTCTGTCTTGCTGTAATCCCACCCCATACCATAACGCTGCCGCCCCCGAACCGATCTTCTTCCATGACACAATGATTGACGTAACGTTCACCTCGACGTCGGTACACTCGAATCCGTCCATCGCTGTGGTTGAGGTGAAAACGAGACTCGTCAGTGAAAAGAACTTGTCCCCACTGCATGGCCGTCCAGCGTAGACGCTGTCTGCACCACTGTA